CTATTCACTTCACTTCTATTCACCACACCCAACTGAACCACACCAACCCGTCCTCCTAACAGAACGTCGCATTTTCCCGTACACTCTACCTACGGCCTAAAATTGGCGTACTAGAAAATGATCGCGGCTCGCGAAATTGACGTAATGTCCCGTTTTCTGTTTTGGGTCCTCTGGTAGGTTAGAATAAGGACACTTTAGTACGACGGTTTCTTGACGTTGGGACACTTTACGAGGACGTAGTGACCACACGTCACCACTCCCACCAACTGAACCAGTCATAACCCAATGATGTTTGAGGTCGGTCGATAGAGCTTCGTCCACTCACACGAGGGGTCAAAGGTTCGAGTCTCCTACAGCCCAGGTGAATGAGATTACTACTGATCATAAACTTTTAAATCACTATGCACTGACGAACTTGAAGTCTAGGGGCCTACTACATCAATACACACGTCTCTAGGGACCGTAATACATAACATACTACAGTGATAATCCCACAACAACAACAACAACCTATGTACCAAAAGCCCGGGTAGATAAGCTGTTACCCATGCACCAAGTTTCCATTATTGGAGTCGAACCCTGTACTGACAATCACTCCCAAATCAATTATAATACGCACGGAGTTATTTATCTTGCAGGCGATGTGTCACAATAACGTGGCTGAAGTATGTTGACCAGACCACACACTAGAAGGTGAAGGGACGACGACGTTTCGGGCCGTCCTGGACCATTCTCAAGTCGATTAATTATCTTGCGCGCGGGTCACCTAGTTTGCAGCCTAAGCCTATCGTACTGCAGTTAGTCATCGTCCTTGACCAGTTAGGCCTATGTCGCTGCAACCCGTTCTCGCAAATTCGTAAAGTCAATATTGACTTATTAACTACGTGCATAGGTGATATACTAAACATAATAGATACCCTTAAAAAGATTCATAGAAAACACCGACCTTACCTAACCTTGTTAGTATCTTAAAATAAGCATCTTATTGCTTCGTAATTACAATTATTACTTAACCTATACCTATTATAGGTTAGGTAATAATTGTAATTACGAAGCAATAAGATGCTTATCTTAAGATACTAACAAGGTTAGGTAAGGTCGGTGTTTTCTGTGAATCTTTTTAAGGGTATCTATTATGTTAAGTATGTCACCTATGCACATATTTAATAAGTCAATATTGACTTATTAAATTTGCGAGAACGGGTTGGTCGCTGAGCCTAGGGGGTAGGGGGGAGGCGGGTCGCCGTGCCCAGAGGTGGGGGGGGGGGGTGAGTCGTGTCTCAACCTAAATTTGATAGTACAAATGTTACTATATAATATATTACAGTTTGCAGGATGTTATATCTTTGTCTGTGTCCTGTATATCCTTGTTATACTGGCTGGGCGCTGTAAGTGCTGCCACAGATGGCATAGGTTGGCCCCAGTACTCACCTAATTGTGCTTTCGGGGGTTGAGCTCTGGCTCTTTGGTCCCGCCTCTCAACTGTCAATCAACTGGTGTACAGGTTCCTGAGCCTACTGGACTCTATCATATCTACACTTGAAACTGTGTATGGAGTCAGCCTCCACCACATTACTGGCCTAGTAGTTGTCCCAAGTGTTTGTTGACCTTCTCACCACCACAGCTGGCTGGCTCATTGTCCTCCTTGACCTTTGTACGACCTCTGCAGGACTTTGATCTTTCTACGACCTCTGCAGGACTATCGGGCTTCTCTATGACCTTTCTCCGCCCTTACAAGGCACCCCATGTTCGTGTACGACCTTCCTTCCCCCTTAATCATCCAAATGACGACTGTCCCTAGACCTCAGTGGCTACCCCTTGTAGCATTCCCTGAACCCTAGGGGGGTGGTGCAATGCCATCTAGAGAACCCGCTGGGGTGGTGGTATGCCATCTAGAGAACTCGCTGGGGTGGTGGTATGCCATCTAGAGAACTCGCTGGGGTGGTGGTATGCCATCTAGAGAACCCGCTGGGGTGGTGGTATGCCATCTAGAGAACTCGCTGGGGTGGTGGTATGCCATCTAGAGAACCCGCTGGGGTAGTGGTATGCCATCTAGAGAACTCGCTGGGGTGGTGGTATGCCATCTAGAGAACCCGCTGGGGTGGTGGTATGCCATCTAGAGAACTCGCTGGGGTGGTGGTATGCCATCTAGGGAACCCGCTGGGGTGGTGGTATGCCATCTAGAGAACTCGCTGGGGTGGTGGTATGCCATCTAGGGAACCCGCTGGGGTGGTGGTATGCCATCTAGAGAACCCGCTGGGGTGGTGGTATGCCATCTAGAGAACCCGCTGGGGTGGTGGTATGCCATCTAGAGAACTCGCTGGGGTGGTGGTATGCCATCTAGAGAACCCGCTGGGGTGGTGGCATGCCATCTAGAGAACTCGCTGGGGTGGTGGTATGCCATCTAGAGAACTCGCTGGGGTGGTGGTATGCCATCTAGAGAACTCGCTGGGGTGGTGGTATGCCATCTAGAGAACTCGCTGGGGTGGTGGTATGCCATCTAGAGAACTCGCTGGGGTGGTGGTATGCCATCTAGAGAACTCGCTGGGGTGGTGGTATGCCATCTAGAGAACTCGCTGGGGTGGTGGTATGCCATCTAGAGAACTCGCTGGGGTGGTGGTATGCCATCTAGAGAACTCACTGGGGTGGTGGTATGCCATCTAGAGAACTCGCTGGGGTGGTGGTATGCCATCTAGAGAACCCACTGGGGTGGTGGTATGGCATCTAGAGAACTCGCTGGGGTGGTGGTATGCCATCTAGAGAACCCGCTGGGGTGGTGGTATGCCATCTAGAGAACCCGCTGGGGTGGTGGTATGCCATCTAGAGAACCCGCTGGGGTGGTGGTATGCCATCTAGGGAACCCGCTGGGGTGGTGGTATGCCATCTAGAGAACCCGCTGGGGTGGTGGTATGCCATCTAGAGAACCCGCTGGGGTGGTGGTATGCCATCTAGAGAACTCGCTGGGGTGGTGGTATGCCATCTAGAGAACCCGCTGGGGTGGTGGTATGCCATCTAGAGAACTCGCTGGGGTGGTGGTATGCCATCTAGAGAACCCGCTGGGGTGGTGGTATGCCATCTAGAGAACCCGCTGGGGTGGTGGTATGCCATCTAGAGAACTCCACGTGTGGCGGGCCACTTCAAAAGCGGCGCTCGTGAGCTGTTACACGAAAGTTCGAACTGTGATGTGTTGCTCAGGGTTTCTTAAGTTTCTGGTGGAGCAGAAAGGATGTGCTGCGAGCAGCTCACCATCCTGCGTCTTGACATATATATATATATATATATATATATATATATATATATATATATATATATATATATATATATATATATATATATATATAATATATATAAAATATATATATATAGGATATATATGTGTGTATATCACGAAAATAACACGTGATTAAGAATGTGACAATGTCAGACCACGGAGGAAAAATGAAACAGGAATTTCCTTAAGTACTTTCGTATATTAAGGCATCTTCAGAAGGACCTTCTGAAGATGTATTTAATATACGAAAGTACTTAAGGAAATTCCTGTTTCATTTTCCTCCGTGGTCTGACATTGTCATATATATATATATATATATATATATATATATATATATATATATATATATATATATATATATATATATATATATATATATATATATATACAGTACTATACATTAGAAGACGTGGAGACGAGGACGTTTCGGTCCGTCTCGGACCATTCTCAAGTCGATTGTCGAATCAAAAGTTTGCATAATTTTGTTGTGTATCTTCGCGAAAAGGGAAAGGGGGGGGGGGGTAAAGGAGATAGAATTGTCTTGGTGTATATAATGAAGATGATTAGAGTAGTGGTGAGCGTACCTTCTGCCGGTGTTACTACCTTGTAACATGTCTTAATTGTTATGCTGGAGAACACATTATATGGCGGTAATGGTGATGGTAACCCCCCCCCCCCTCCCCACGGCTCTTGTTCTCCACCCCCTCCCACTCCACCCCCCTACTCCAGTCAGGTATGGCAGGAGGGTTTTAATTAATGGGAGGAGGCGAGGGCGGTGACTGGTTATGGGTGCTGTGACTGGTAACCCGTTCTCTTAAAAATAACGTCACTTTTGGCTCGCATGCTCACTATGGCCAAATTTGGACGTAATTTGAAATGAAATCGACTCACAAAAGTGACGTATTGTTCCGTTTTCTGTTTTGAGTCGTCCGGCCTACTCGGTGAGGTTAGGAGAGGAAACTTTCAATTCACGTTTTTCATAACGTTTTCAAACTTTATGAGAATTTCCTGCCTACCTAACCTATCAGAGGACCATTAACTTACTGTTGGTGAAAAAAAATTGCAAACTTATTTTCATTTTTTTTCATTTTCAAATTACGTCCACTTTTGGCCATACTGGTAAACGGCCGAAAGTGACGTTATTTTTAAGAGAACAGGTTACGACTGGTGGAGGGGGGGGGCGGGGGTTGTTGAGGGGTGGGGGTTGCGGGGGGCGCGGTGCCTGTTGGGTACTGCAGACGGGGGCGCCTGTGGTGTTCTCCAGTTAGGTCTTGGGCCCTCCACGATGCCCAGACCCTGTTAATGTTACCCCCAGACACACGTCTTCACATGAACTACCCCTCTTAACTCTACTGACTTTCTACCACCTGGTCATAAGGATCAGTGTTCCTTAACTAGAGGTAGGTCGATGTGCCCTTATTTCACGGCACGGTTCACTTTCAGGTGGGTCTGAACACGAGTGCATAAAGAGGTCTTAGATATTATACATTTTCACCCTTGTTCGGTGGCCACATAAAGATCTTAATTGCTTGACCTGAAAGGTTTCCTAGAGCCTACTGCCTCTGGCCATCTGTACTGCTCTGGTGAGTTATTAGTTTGTGGGCCAGAAGGCTGGCATCTCGGGTCTTCAACACAACCAGCCTATTTTGGTCAGAAAGTTGTGGCTGGTCGCCCGTGGTGGCCGGAGGTGCCCGTGGTGAGAGGCAGCAGTGCCTCAGGAGTGGCAGCAATGCTCCAGGAGAGGCGACAGTGCCCCAGGAGAGGCAGCAGTGCCCCAGGAGAGGCGGCAGTGCCCCAGGAGAGGCGGCAGTGCTCCAGGAGAGGCGACAGTGCCCCAGGAGAGGCGACAGTGCCCCAGGCGAGGCGACAGTGCCCCAGGAGAGGCAGCAGTGCCCCAGGAGAGGTGGCAGTGCCCCAGGAGAGGCGGCAGTGCTCCAGGAGAGGCGACAGTGCCCCAGGAGAGGCGGCAGTGCCCCAGGAGAGGCGACAGTGCCCCAGGAGAGGCGACAGTGCCCCAGGAGAGGCGACAGTGCCCCAGGAGAGGCAGCAGTGCCCCAGGAGAGGTGGCAGTGCCCCAGGAGAGGCGGCAGTGCTCCAGGAGAGGCGACAGTGCTCCAGAAGAGGCGGCAGTGCCCCAGGAGAGGCGGCAGTGCTCCAGGAGAGGCGACAGTGCCCCAGGAGAGGTGGCAGTGCCCCAGGAGAGACGGCAGTGCTCCAGGAGAGGCGACAGTGCCCCAGGAGAGGCGGCAGTGCCCCAGGAGAGGCGGCAGTGCCCCAGGAGAGGCGGCAGTGCCCCAGGAGAGGCAGCGGTGCCCCAGGAGAGGCGGCAGTGCCCCAGGAGAGGCAGCGGTGCCCCAGGAGAGGCGGCAGTGCCCCAGGAGAGGCGGCAGTGTCCCAGGAGAGGCGACAGTGCCCCAGGAGAGGCAGCAGTGCCCCAGGAGAGGCAGCAGTGCTCCAGGAGAGGCGGCAGTGCCCCAGGAGAGGCGGCAGTGCTCCAGGAGAGGCGACAGTGCCCCAGGAGAGGCGGCAGTGCCCCAGGAGAGGCGGCAGTGCCCCAGGAGAGGCAGCAGTGCCCCAGGAGAGGCGGCAGTGCCCCAGGAGAGGCGACAGTGCCCCAGGAGAGGTGGTGGTATTGGGTGTGCACGAGCCAGTGAGAGATCAGGCGTGTATGAGAGAGCGTGTATGTACTCGCTTGACTTTGCTGGCGGGAGTTTGTTTCGGCTCTTTTGTCCCGCCTCTCGACTGTCAATCAGTTTCCTGAGCTTATTGGGATCTATTATACAGTAGCTACAGTTGAATCAGTGTATGGAGTCTGCCTCCATACCATAAGGAGGCCTGGTCGAGGACCGGGCCGCGGGGACCTTGAGCCTCGAAATCATCGCAAGATAACCACATTACTTCCTAAAGCATTCCATTTATTAACTACTCTGACACACACAAATAGTTCTTTCTAATGTGTTTGTGGCTCATTTGGGCACTCAGTTTCCACCTGTGTCCCCTTGTGCGTGTACCTCCCGTGATTAAATAATGTCTTTATGTACCCATGCGGAGCCGGTCGGCCGAGCGGACAGCACGCTGGACTTGTGATCCTGTGGTCCTGGGTTCGATCCCAGGCGAAGGCGAGAAACAATGGGCAGAGTTTCTTTCACCCTATGCCCTTGTTACCTAGCAGTAAATAGGTACCTGGGTGTTAGTCAGCTGTCACTGGCTGCTTCCTGAGGGTGGAGGCCTGGTCGAGGACCGGGCCGCGGGGACACTAAAAAGCCCCGAAATCATCTCAAGATAATCCTGTCAATTCCCCTGAGTATTTTGTCGCAGCCTTTCTTCGTAACTCATACCTCGTAGTTCTGGGTCTAGTCTAGTGGCATACCTTTAAACCTTCTCCAGCTTAGTTTTGTGCTTGACAAGGTATGGACTCCATGCTGGAGCTGCATACTATAGGCTTGGTCAGACGTATGTGAAAGGAAAGGAAGGAAACTATCAGGGAAAAGCGCCAAGCCATTACGACTATATAGCACTGGGAAGGGGTCAGGATAAGGATTTGGGATGGGACGGGGGGAAAGGAATGGTGCCAAACCACTTGGACGGTCGGGGATTGAACGCCGACCTGCATCAAGCGAGACCGTCGCTCTACCGTCCAACCCAAGTGGTTGGCAGACGTATGTGGTATACAAAGTTCTAAATGATTCACAAGTTTCTAAAGGCTGTTCTGTTGTTAGCCAGCCTCGCATACGCCGCTGATGAGATATTTTTTATGTGGGCTTCAGAAGTCAGGTTCGGTGTGATATCAACTCTGAGAAGTCCTTCTCTTTTCCCTCCACCTAACGTCATTATTTTTCATTAACTTGAGTTTAATTTTAGGAGCCATTTGTCGGACCATTCCTTCAACTTGTCCACGTCATCTTGTAGCGTCTTGCTATCTTCCTCGGTCTTAATCCTCCTCATAATTTTCGCATCTTCAGCAAACATTGAGAGGAAACATTGAGTATTAATCCCCCCCCCCTGGGGAGATTATATACACGTGTCAGAAACAGGATTGGTCCGAGAACTGAACCCCGGGGGCTTCCCACAGGTGACTATGTGAGTGTGTGTACACGCCAGCGTGTGCGTGTGCGTGTGTGTGTGTGTACTCACCTAATTGTGCTTGCGGGGGTTGAGCTTTGGCTCTTTGGTCCCGCCTCTCAACTGTCAATCAACTGGTGTACAGATTCCTGAGCCTACTGGGCTCTATCATACCTACATTTGAAACTGTGTATGGAGTCAGCCTCCACCACATCACTTCCTAGTGCATTCCATTTATTAACTACTCTGACACTGAAAAAATTCTTTCTAACGTCTCTGTGGCTCATCTGGGTACTAAGTTTCCACCTGTGTCCCCTTGTTCGTGTCCCACCCGTGCTGAAGAGTTTGTCTTTGTCCACCCTGTCAATTCCCCTGAGAATTTTGTAGGTGGTTATCATGTCTCCCCTTACTCTTCTGTTTTCCAGGGATGTGAGGTTCAGCTCCTTTAGCCTTTCCTCGTAGCTCAATCCTCTCAGTTCCGGGACGAGCCTGGTGGCATACCGCTGAATCTTCTCTAACTTTGTCTTGTGTTTAACTAGGTATGGACTCCAGGCGTGTGTGTGTGTGTGTGTGTGTGTGTGTGTGTGTGTGGGCAGGATCGAGTGCACACCATAAGGGGCAAACTGTCCCTGGCCCGTTATTCCCCGCCAGTTGTCCCTAAGGACCATGGGGGGGGGGGGGAGGGTCAGAAAACTGGCCGGACAGGGTAGTGAATCACCCCCCCTCCGGCCCCCCACCGTCCGTCGCTGGTGTCCGACGGCTTTTTGACCCGCGTGTTTTTTGTTTTTTTGGGACCATTATTGTGGCGTTTACTGTTTTAGTGGCGGGGTCACCTTTTTCCTTGTTGCATTATCCCCCTTTAGGGCTGTCTTGGTGGTGCTGTTTTGTTGTGGTCTGTGTTTTGTTGTGGTTTGGTCTGTGTTTTGTTGTGGTTTGGTCTGTGTTTTGTTGTGGTTTGGTCTGTGTTTTGTTGTGGTTTGGTCTGTGTTTTGTTGTGGTTTGGTCTGTGTTTTGTTGTGGTTTGGTGTTCCCTGTTGATTGGTGTTCCCTGTTGATTGATGTTCCCTGTTGATTGATGTTCCCTGTTGATTGATGTTCCCTGTTGATTGATGTTCCCTGTTGATTGATGTTCCCTGTTGATTGATGTTCCCTGTTGATTGATGTTTCCTGGTGATTGATGTTCCCTGTTGATTGATGTTCCCTGTTGATTGGTGTTCCCTGTTGATTGATGTTCCCCGTTGATTGATGTTCCCTGTTGATTGATGTTCCCTGTTGATTGATGTTCCCTGTTGATTGATGTTCCCTGTTGATTGATGTTCCCTGTTGATTGATGTTCCCTGTTGATTGAGGTTCCCTGTTGATTGATGTTTCCTGGTGATTGATGTTCCCTGTTGATTGATGTTCCCCGTTGATTGATGTTCCCTGTTGATTGATGTTCCCTGTTGATTGATGTTCCCTGTTGATTGATGTTCCCTGTTGATTGATGTTCCCTGTTGATTGATGTTCCCTGTTGATTGATGTTTCCTGGTGATTGATGTTCCCTGTTGATTGATGTTCCCTGTTGATTGATGTTCCCTGTTGATTGATGTTCCCCGTTGATTGATGTTCCCTGTTGATTGATGTTCCCCGTTGATTCATGTTCCCTGTTGATTGATGTTCCCAGTTGGTGATTGATGTTCCCTGTTGATTGATGTTTCCTGTTGATTGATGTTCCCTGTTGATTGATGTTCCCTGTTGATTGGTGTTCCCTGTTGATTGATGTTCCCTGTTGATTGGTGTTCCCTGTTGATTGATGTTCCCTGTTGATTGATGTTCCCTGTTGATTGATGTTCCCTGTTGATTGGTGTTCCCTGTTGATTGATGTTCCCTGTTGATTGATGTTCCCTGTTGATTGGTGTTCCCTGTTGATTGATGTTCCCTGTTGATTGGTGTTCCCTGTTGATTGATGTTCCCTGTTGATTGATGTTCCCTGTTGATTGGTGTTCCCTGTTGATTGGTGTTCCCTGTTGATTGATGTTTCCTGTTGATTGATGTTCCCTGTTGATTGGTGTTCCCTGTTGATTGATGTTTCCTGTTGATTGGTGTTCCCTGTTGATTGGTGTTCCCTGTTGATTGGTGTTTCCTGTTGATTGATGTTTCCTGTTGATTGGTGTTCCCTGTTGATTGATGTTTCCTGTTGATATTTCCCGTCGGTTGATATTCTACTGATGTTTATTGTTGGTCGATGTTGATAACAGGTTTTTCGTCATTGGGATAAAGCTGTTTATTTTGGCATTGTGCCACCCCTGGTGTGGTTATCTTGTTATCTTGAGATGATTTCGGGGCTTTAGTGTCCCCGCGGCCCGGTCCTCGACCAGGCCTCCACCCCCAGGAAGCAGCCCGTGACAGCTGACTAACACCCAGGTACCTATTTTACTGCTAGGTAACAGGGGCATAGGGTGAAAGAAACTCTGCCCATTGTTTTTCGCCGGCGCCTGGGATCGAACCCAGGACCACAGGATCACAAGTCCAGCGTGCTGTCCGCTCGGCCGACCGGCTCCCTGGAGGATCCTTGGGTGGTGGAGGATCCTTGGGAACATCACCAGCGAGGTCACCCTATTTATAAATCCCTTGGATTACGTTCTAAGCAAACGTACCCCCATTCCAGCAAGAAGGTCAAACCGGAGGGGATAGAACTCTGTGGTTCAACATAACTCCATGCGAAGAAATCAAAATAGAATTAATAAAATAGGACAAAAAGCTGACTAGAAATGACTAAGTTTCTTCCATCTACGGGTTCATCGCTGGGGCAAGTTACGGCGGACTAGGGGCCAAATTCACGAAGCAGGTACGCAAGTACTTACGATCGTGTACATCTTTCTTTTAATCTTTGACGGCTTTGGTTACATTTATTAATCAGTTTACAAGCATGAAAACTTGCCAATCGACTGTTGTTATTGTTATAAACAGCCTCCTGGTGCTTCGGAGTTCATTAACTGTTTAATAATTGTAAACAAAGCCACCAAAGATTGAGGAAAGATGGACAGGTTCGTGAGTGCTTGCGTAACTGCTTCGTGAATCTGGCCCTAGGAAGGTTAGGGGGTGGGGGGGGGGGGTTCGTCGCGGATGAAGGTGTTCGTCGCGGAGTGGGCAGGAAGGAAGGAAGGAAGAACTGTTAGGTGGGTATCAGAGGACGGATACAGGAAGTGAGATAGGAAGATCATTGAGGATGTGAATGCGGGCGCACAGGGTCAGCTGTGGTGGACCTGCGCGGCGCAAGGCTTGGACCAGAGCGGGCAGGCACACACACACACACACACACACACACACACACACACACACACACACACACACACACACACACACACACACACACACACACACACACACACACACACACACACACGCCCTTGTAGAATATGAATCACATACAAAAAAGCTATTGGAACGGCGGGTTTTTGTTGAGCGGTCCACTTTCGTTGGCTTATCTGTGGTCCAGGTGATGGATGGCGGTTCTGGGGTTACCAGGACCACTACCACAAACACCACCACCACTACCACAAGCACCACCACCACTACCACAAGCACCACCACCACTACCACAAGCACCACCACCACTACCACAAGCACCACCACCACTACCACAAGCACCACCACCACTACCACAAGCACCACCACCACTACCACAAGCACCACCACCACTACCACAAACACCACCACCACTACCACAAGCACCACCACCACTACCACAAACACCACCACCACTACCACAAGCACCGCCATCATAGGAACCTACAGGCACCTACAGGGACCTACAGGCACCTACAGGGACCTACAGGCACCTACAGGGACCTACAGGAACCTACAGGAACCTACAGGAACCTACAGGGACCTACAGGAACCTAGAGGAACCTACAGGGACCTACAGGAACCTACAGGCACCTACAGGAACCTACAGGGACCTACAGGAACCTACAGGGACCTACAGGAACCTACAGGCACCTACAGGAACCTACAGGCACCTACAGGAACCTACAGGAACCATCAACATGGTAGCGAAGATCTACAGAAGCCGAGTCCATGAGCAACAGCGAAAAGAGTGACTTGAAACTGTCATGGCCGATATTTTAATTAGCCCCAGTAGGCTATATATATATATATATATATATATATATATATATATATATATATATATATATATATATATATATATATATATATATATATATTCCCATTGACCAGCGCCTCCGTCAGCATGGGAATCAGCCTCGTCATTACCTCCGTCAGCATCAGTACCAGCATCATGACCATGCTGCCACACATCTCCATCATAAGAGGATAGAGAGCGGTTGCTGCATTGGATGTAATGTAAATCTGTAGTGATATAGTCACCTTCCTCGGCCCAGTGTTAGTCGTGGGCTTGCGCCAGGATCTCTGGGATCACTTGCCGTGGCGCATTCAAATCACCGCCTTTGAGTGCGTTTGTTTAAAGTTATTTAATTATGATCTTTAGTGTGTAATTACCTAAGTGCAGTTACAGGATGAGAGGTACGCTCGTGGTGTCCCGTCTTCCCAGTACTCTTTGTCGTACTGTGTGTGTGTGTGTGTGTGTGTACTCTATTGTTGTTGTTGTTTAAGATTCAACTATTAGGAACAAACTGTTCCAAGTAGCATGGGCTATGGTGAGCCCGTAGTGGACTTACCTGGCACAGGAGCGGGGTTGTAACAAGTAGCACGGGCTATGGTGAGCCCGTAGTGGACTTACCCGGCACAGGAGCGGGGCTGTAACAAGTAGCACGGACTATGGTGAGCCCGTAGTGGACTTACCCGGCACAGGAGCGGGGCTGTAACAAGTAGCACGGGCTATGGTGAGCCCGGAGTGAACTTACCTGGCACAGGAGCGGGGCAAGTAGCACGGGCTATGGTGAGCCCGTAGTGAACTTATCTGGCTCAGGAGCGGGGCTGTATCTATGTGTACTCTTCAGTCCATCGTTACTATAGGAGGACGAGCTGGGGTGAGTAGCATAACGGTACCTTTATCTTACCTTGTGGACTCACCTATACTAAGGAGTGCCGGACCAACCGGGCTGTGGTGGGTATGTGGGCCTGCGGGCCGCTCCAAGCAACAGCCTGGTGGACCAAACTCTCACAAGTCAAGCCTATGACCCCGGACCGGGCTTGGGGAGTAGAAGAACTCCCAGAACACCATCAACCAGGTATAGCCTATTCTTTCTCAATCTGAATATCTTTTGAAGGCAGTTCTGAAATTCTTCTGTGTCAAAGAGCAATGATTTCGAATCTTGGCTCCTACTGAACACACTTATAATAATAATAATTTTAATAATTCATTGTGTCGGGGGACAGGAAGCCTGAATGTGGATTCCATTGGGAAGGATCATGTATTTATTGTTTTAGATCCAGCTACTCAGAACGATGTGTCCATGTAGCACGGGCTATGGCGAGCCCGTAACAGAGGGGGATAACATGTAATAATCGTATGGTTTAATATTGGAGAGACTTGCAAGGGGATCTGACTCCGTGAGTCCACTAGTGGCATCACGCAGCTTAGGGAATCTAATCCTCCTGTTCAAATCCCCCTTCTGGGGGGGGGGGGGAGCCCAATCTACGTCGCTAAATAAGTTGTAAGGTTGAGAGTAATTATCAGCAGCTGTTGTGTATATATATATGTAGGCCTCTGGTGTTCGACTTGTGTGGGCTGGTGGGCCCACTGCCAGCCTCGCCTCTAAGGCCCCTTCCTCCCCCCTTTCTCTCCCTTTCCACCCTCCCCCCCTTTCTCTCCCTTTCCACCCTCCCCCCCTTTCTCTCCCTTTCCACCCTCCCCCCCTTCCCCCACTCCTACCCTCCCCCTCCCCCCCCCCCTCCCTTTGGTTCTTCAGTGGAGCGGGTCTCGTCAGATGTTTTGGTCGCTTCCATCTGGGTGTTCCAGGGCGTTACGGAGTTAATTAACCCGCACAAAAGTGCTTAACGGAACGACTTGTTAATGTTTCCAGTTAGTCCGCCGCCGTGAGTCGTCTCACTCATTGTAGAGGCACAGGGAAAGTCAGAGAGAGGAAACTATAGAGAGTAAACTAGAAATAGCTACAGAGTAAATTGAAGAAAGCTAGAGAGCAAACTAGATAAAGCTTGAAAAGATAGAAAATGTCTCTAGTTTGCTCTCTAAGGTAAAGAAAGTTAGAGAGAGAGAAAGCCAAAGAGAGTGACCGACCCTACCAGAGTGAGCGAGCAAGTGACCCGGCAAGAGGAGAGAGAGAGAGAGAGAGAGAGAGAGAGAGAGAGAGAGAGAGAGAGAGAGAGAGAGAGCAAGAGCAAGAGAGCAAGATAGCAAGATAAGAGGAAGAAAAATGGGTCTTCAAGGAAGGGCTGTGTAATATGCATGGGATCCAGACAGAGGAACCCAGCTATAAACATTACATTTAGAACGTGAGTTGCCAACACAATGGTTAATTAACTCTTTCAAAACACAAATGTATTCATGTCGGGTGCAGAGGCATACCAGCGTCTCCCTAGTGTTCTTGGGGGCCGGTGGAGACGCTTCAGGAAGCAGGGGACCACTACACGAGAAGAAGAAGCTCGGGTAAATCCAGACTGGAGCTGTAGAATGTCTTAGGAGGTAGCTACAGGAGGTCAGGAGGTGAGGCTGTTGAAGTTCAAGCACGAGTAGTACTTCAGGACTGGAGTGAAGAATCTCTAGAAAGGGCGCTGCATATTGTTTTTGAAGGTCACTGAAGGTGCTTAAGGTCAGCGGCATTTGTTGAGCGGGTCACGCTAGGGAGCTGCATGAGGTCTGGCACGGGGGGGGGGAGGGTCGCAATTCGAAGATATATGTTGGTAATGTTTTAGTCTAGGAAACACCTGGGTAAATACTGGCTTGGAACAGCTAGGGGGGCTCTTGAAATCACTGGGTAAAATCATTATTATTCTTGGAACGGTTATGAGGACAATGATATTTTATGGTGTTTGATAGAGAAGGAATGATGACCAACCGCTTGGACACTCAGGGATCGAACGCCGGCCTGCAAGATGCGAGGCCGCCGCCTTATACACCAATCCAAGTGATTGGACAAGTTACCTAGTATCTTACTAGACGTGGGATCACTGGATTGTTTCAAGCGTAGGTTAGACATGGATGAGTTTGGGTGACTATAAATAGGACTTGTCTCGTTTAGGGTCTATAGGCCTATTCTGTCGTTCCCTGTTTACCTATTTAAGGTCAAGGATAAGCTTGAGGCTCGTGAGGTCTTAGGTTAAGGAGAGGTTGCATGTGCTCAAGGTGCTTCAGGCGAGTCTTGTCTTGTACAAGTCTGTTGAAGGTAGGGGCTGGTGGTCTGTGTGTGTACTTACCTACTTGTGCTTGCTGGGGGGTTGAGCTCTGGCTCTTTGTTCCCGCCTCTCAACTGTCAATCAACTGGTTCCTGAGCCTACTGGACTCTATCATATCTACACTTGAAACTGTGTATGGAGTCAGCCTCCACCACATCACCCCCTAATGCATTATATTTGTCAACCACTCTGACACTGAAAAAGTTTTTTCTAATATCTCTGTGGCTCATTTGGGCACTCAATTTCCACCTGTGTCCCCTAGTGCGTGTTCCTCTTGTGTTAAATAGCATGTCCTTATCTACCTTATCAATTCCTTTGAGAATTATGTATGTGGTGATCATGTCTCCCCCTAACTCTTCTGTCTTCCAGCGACGTGAAGTTTAACTCCCGTAGTCTTTCCTCGTAGCTCATACCTCTCAGCTCTATGGCTCTGTATGACTAACCATCCTGTGAGATGGGGACTTGTATTACCACTGCTACCTTATTCAATCTTGTGTTGTTGATATCCTCCAAATGCATCCGGAGTCTGCCAGTGCAGACCGCTTATCACATGCCTCTGTATGACTAACCATCCTGTGTGATGGGGATTTCTTAGCATCACCTAGTTAGCTTTTTTGACACACTGTACTCCACTTCATATAGTCTAGGGTAGCTGCACTAATGCAGATGTACCTAATATGTTAATAAAAAAAATCAGCTCTGGTACTAGTCTGGTGGCAAACCTTTGAACCTTCTCCAGTTTAGTCTTATGCTTGTCTGTATGACTATACTGTGGAATGTGTGTGTGTGTGTACTCACCTAATACTAGTTGTGTTTTTACGGGGGTTGAGCTCTGCTCTTTCGGCCCGCCTCTCAACTGTCAATCAACTGTTTACTAACTACTATTTATTTATTTATTTATTTATTTTTCCCACACCACACACACACACCCCCCAGGAAGCAGCCCGTGACAGCTGACTAACTCCCAGGTACCTATTTACTGCTAGGTAACAGGGGCATTCAGGGTGAGAGAAACTTTGCCCATTTGTTTCTGCCTCGTGCGGGAATCGAACCCGCGCCACAGAATTACGAATCCTGCGCGCTATCCACCATGCTACGAAGCCCCACATGTGTGTGTGTGTGTGTGTGTGTGTGTGTATGTGTGTGTGTGTGTGTGTGTATGTGTGTGTGTGTGTGTGTGTGGTGGACGTTGAGTATACAGGTGTAGAGCGATATAGCTATACACTATATATCAGTAATACACTATATGTGTGTATCAAGAAGGATTTCAGGTGTAATCCGTCAATCACCAGCCTTCACACCAAGTTCTCACACATTAGCCGACTACACACTAAGTATTCTGGCCCACGGATACTAACTCCTCCAAGAAGGCCACCCGCCCGACTTGACATTCTAGTCAAAGGGCATTAACATTGATGTATGATAATATGGGGGCTTTTAACTTCAATTGTTTTGCGACTGTTTGTGTCTAAAGGGAACGTGGCAATTAATTTTACCTTGTAGGAGTGAGGCATCTCACACGCCCCTGTGTTGTGCAAGTCTAAGTGTTGATAATTAGATTCTTCTTGACTTGCACCGGTAGTGTTGCTCCTCGCCACCAGCCGATAATTGCCAATGACATGCTTAAAGTCTTAAGTGTTTTGTGGAGAAGGAACGCGGTTTCTCCCAAGATTTCACAAGGTTTAACTTTTACTTGGTCACCATGCAAGGCTAAATCAAACTTTTCTATGTTGGTTTGTGTAC